ACTAGAAGGCTTATAAACAAACATTGCTCATAGTTCTGGAAGCTGGGAAGTCCAAGAACAAAGTGTTTGCATGGTCAGGTAAGGGCCTTCTGGAGTGGTAGGGGCTAGGGAGCTCTGTAGGGCCTCTTTTGTAAAAAAAGGGCACTAATCCCATTTATGAGGGCTCCACCTTCATGACCTAATCATCCCAAAAAAGCCCCACCTCCTAATACCATCATTAGAGATTAAGATTTCAACACAGGAATTGGGGTTGGGGGGGACAAACGTTCAGACCATAGCAGATTGTTACCCAAAATATATTAAAAACCCCTCAAAAGTCAGTAAGAAATCAATCTGATTTAAAAGTGGGCCAAATACCTTAACAGATACTTCAAGAAAATACACAGATGGCAAGTAAGCATGTGAAAAAATGGTCTACATCATGTCACCAGGAAAATGCAAATTAAGACAGATACCACTACATACCTATTAGAATGCAAAAATTCACAACACTGACACCACCAAATGCTGGTGAGAATGGAACAACAGGAACTCTCTCATTCATTGCTGGTGAAAATGTAAAAATGATAAGCCAATTAGAAATAGTTTATTTTTTTACAAAACTAAACACATTCTAACCATATGATCCAGCAATCAAGATCCTTAGTTTATATATTGAAGTCAGTTGAAAACTTGTATCTACACAAAAATCTGCAATACAGATGGTTACAGCAGCTTTATTCATAATTGCGAAAACTTGGAAGCAACTAAGATGTCTCTTTAGCAGGTGAATGAATAAGCTGGTACATCCAGACAATGGGATATTACTAAGCACTAAGAAAAACTATCAAGTCATGAAAAGACACAAAGGAACTTTAAATACATATTACTAAGTGAAAAGCCAATCTAAAAAGACTACAGACTGCATAATTCTGAGTATGCAACATTCTGGAAAAGGCAAAATTATGGAGTCAGTAAAAAGATCAGGGGTTGAAAGAGTGAGGGATAGATAGACACAGAACAAAGGAAAACTAGTCTGCATAATTTTACAATGATGGATACATGTAATTATACATTTGTCAAAACCATTATATATTTCTACAACATCAAGAGTGAACCCTAATGTAAACTATAGACTGGGTAATAATGATGTGTGAATGTAGGCTCATGTGCATGTATAGGATCAGGGAGTATACTTTCCACTCAATTTTGCTGTGTGTATAAAACTTCTCTAAAAAGTCTTTTTAAAAAGGTGTTCAATATCATTAGGCATTAGGAAAATACAAGATAAAACCACAGTGAGAATGCACAACATGCCTACTAAAATGCTAAAATTAAGAAGGTTGGCCATACCAAATGTTTGTGATGATATGGAGGAACTGGAACTCTCATACACTGTTGGTGGGAGTGCAAAATGGTATAACCATTTTGGAAGAATGTTTGACAGTTTCTTTTCAAATTAAACACACTACTACTGTATGATCCAGCCATTCACCTTAGGTGTTATTTAAGAGAACAGAAAAGATGTGTCCATATAAGGACTTGTATACAAATGTTTATAACAGCTTTATGATAGCCAAAAACTGGAAACAATCCAAATGTCCATCAACAGATGAATGATTAAACCCATTGTAGCCCGGCTGGGCGTGGCTCAGCAGTTGATCCTCGACCTAGGATCCAGGCTATTGGGGTTTGATTCCCGGTCAGGGCACATGCCCAAGTTGTGGGCTCGATCCCCAGTAGGGGGCATGCAGGAGGCAGCTGATCATCTCATCCATGTTTCTCCCTCTCCCTCTCTCTCTCTCTCAAAATCAATTTTAAAAAAATGTTTAAAGGGGGGTGCCTAAGAAAACATTTTGGGATGATGGATATGATTACTATTGATTTTGGTGATGGTTTTAGGGATGTATACGTATGTCAAAATGTATCAAATTGTACACTTTTAAAATGTACAACTTATTTGTATATCATTTATACCTCATTAAAGCTGTTTAAAAGAAAGAGCTACTATTGAGCATAGAACTATGCTTTGGGGACAACTGTTAATGCTCTCTCAATTTGGAAAATAATTAAAGCTTTTTAGGAATTCTGGTCACCAAATTAGCAAGAGTGGTGTCTATATTTGAGAAGAAAAACCTATACTTACCATAGAAACTTGCCTTAAAATTTTTCAGTTACTTTCCCACATGATCTCCGTGGCAATTTCAGCTTGAGTAATCTTTATTTTTAATTGCTGTAATAATTCACTGACTGTTACATGTCACCGTTTACTTTGTCCCTGAACACCCACCTTGCTGCAGTTTCCCTGGCCCAGTCCCCCTCCATGTACCATAGGGATTAACTATGACTTTGGTGGAAATGAAGGATGGGAAGGGACAGGAAGGTGACAGAGTGGTTTTATTATAAGAGCAGTCAGCTTAGAAAAAGATTATTTGGAGCCAGGCTAAATCCATGACCAAGATTCTGAACCAAAAACTCCAAACAGTAACAGTGTATTCTGATCCTGTCCTCTATTTTTGTGTTCACAATCAGATTTTGACAACAGCTCAAGTTCCCAGCTATAAGGCTGAGTCATCATGGGAAGAAACACAGCACCCAAGAAAACAATTACATCTAATTTACACCTGCTAACTCCCATTGTGAGGGCCTGGGCTGCTGCTCAGCCCCAACGGTGGTCGCAGCAGTGATGAGCACCTTGCTCTGCACACACTAGTGATACTGTTAAATTGTAAGGAGCAGTTGAATAACCTAAGAAAAAAGATAATTTAGTTCCTTAGGTCCATACCTAGCGTATGCCTTCTCTTTAGCTTAGTATAAAACTCAAAACTCCGGTATTTGGGGTAAGCGCTTACCTCCTCCTTTCTGCTGTCCTTTGAGTAAGGCCAATGTTAGGAAGAAAAGCATCTAGGCCAGTCGGTGTCATGAGTCAGAGGTAGGCTTGCTCTGGGACCTTTGGCTGTCAGGCTCAGCCCAGCGAATTAACGGTTTTTTCTAGGCTAAATATTATTGCTTCAAAATACCTTCCTTTCTGTTATCGAGCTAAGGTGGTTGGGTGCTTTGGACTTGCTGGGTCCTTTCAGGTGCCAACGCAGCCCAGGGTGGGGAGCACGGCTCGCGCCCAGGAGCTCACGGGGCAGTGCCGTGTACTAGGAGGAGACCAAAGGTTTGATTCAACTGAAATGTGCAGATGAGGAAACAGGGGCCTAGGAGGGATCCAGCTCCCCAGCTAACCAGACTGCAGGCCTACGGTGTTGGTTGGGCCTGGCTGGGTGCCGCAGGCATAGGGGTTGGGGTATGTTGGGTAAATGGGGTTCCGAATTTGGAGAGCAACAGACCGGGGTTCGAACAGAGCTCCGCTCCTGGGCGCGACCGCCCACACGCGTCCTCTGGGACCCTCAGTCTCCTCCTCCGCCCCCTGCAGCCGTGCGAGGCGTGGACGCGCCCTGCGCACGGGGAGAGCCGAGGCCGCGGTGGGCGGCGCGC